AAAAAATCAAAAAATCAAAAAATCAAAAAATCAAAAAATCAAAAAATCAAAAAATACAAAAACTGTTTTTGTGCTGTCGCGTCTGGGCCACCGTACATTCATGGCAAGTCTAACTTTTGAATTCTAGGATTTTTATTTCAACAATTTTTAAGGAACTTGGAAATCTCTATTTTAGTCTGTCATGAATGATGTCATTTCTATTATTAGAAAACATATTTGAAAAATGTGTAGATACCTTTTTACTTAAGACATATAAGGCTACTATTGTGTGGAACGATTTAGTTTCATCATTATTTTTGTTTGATGTAGAGAGGTTTAAAAATCAGTAAGAATCCACTATTGAGAAACAGCAAAAATCATAATTTTAACCCTCAACTTGACCCCCGTGGAACTTTGCCAAAATGCAATTAGACTGAAAACAAAATGCATTTTGAAACAAACCTTATAAAGGCAATCTCAAGTACAAAGTTTGAGAGAAATCTATTTCTTGATCCAAAGAGGTCATGAGGTTCTTACAGAGACTGCCTCTTAACAATGAAAGCAAATCGATGGCTGTTGGTATTTTGTGGTGGTTAATTTTTTATCTTATTTTCCCAATAATTTTGAAATTTAGTTATATTAAATGCGTGCAACACTAAGAATTTTAAAATAGAATAACTAAATATTTTAAATTTTAATATAAATCCATAACAACTAACCATAACAGGATTGGTGTTCTTTCCATTTAACTTAAACCATTGCCAACGACCATTTTTGTAAATTCGATATTCCATACAACGTCTCCACACTCTCTTGGGCAAAGCTGATCGTATCCAAAACCAGGTATAAACACGTTTAACAACTGTCCCTCCGTTAATAGCCTTACACTTATCTGTGCAGTAATTCCCAGAGCCACCAACTGGTCCAAAACATCCACAACACTATAGTGTATACAAAATAAAGTAAAACAAAAACACGCAAAGAAATACAATGTTAATTAAAGTATCCAACGAATGTATTACCCCAATAGACACGCCGACATACAAAACACGTTTCGAAATATTTTGATAATTACGTCGTATTTTGGAATTCAGATATTTCAATAAAATTCGGGATGAATTTTTGAGACAACTTCCTTTTCTTTTTATAGATTTTGGAGAAATATCATATTTGATTATATAAAATATAATGCTTTATGATTTCGAGCACTGATAAAACTGATAATCTCACATGTGAGATTATTTATGATAATTTCACATGTGAAAATTATCGCTTTTCTGTAAAAATGATCGCTTTTCAAAAACTGCCCTTTATATAATAAACAGAAAAATACATGGGAGCTTGGAAATACCAGATTTATTTCTCGTTTTGAACATGATATCTCATGTTCAACACTCGAAATAAATTTGGTATTTCCGCGCACCCATGTATTAATATTCTCCATGTAAAAATGTAAAAGTGACACTGTATAGGAAACTATACTGCCTGTCGCCCAGACATAATCACATGAAACACAGCAAATCACAGTTTAAAATCACAATTTCTCACAAGTAAAAACTACAAATTTTCCGATCCCAATAACAAATATATTCTCCCATAAAGCACATGTAAATAGTCTCTGTCTATTGGCTAAACCAAACAATGAATTAGCGCCGTCACTTCCGGTGAATTAGTAATTAGGAGGTTAGGATAAAACGCGGATACGGACGGACGGATGGATGGCGGACGGACGGACGGATGAGTGGCGGACGGACGGACAGCCTTTTTTAAGCCATATGGTCAAAAAACGTTTTTCAGCCCTTTTTAAGTCATATCCGCGTTTTATCCAAAAGGATAAAAACGCGGATATGGTAAAACGTTTTCAGCCTTTTTTAAGTCATATCCGCGTTTTATCCAAAAGGATAAAACGCGGATATGGTCAAAGAACGTTCTATAAGAGCATATCTATATGTATAATGAATATTGAATATTGTCCTAGAATTTGAACAAATAAAAACAATGTCTCTTCGCTTAAATACTTACTGCGAGATAAGAGTTCTAAAATTACAATTTAGTGTTAATAAAGTTTTAATTTAGTGTCAGTTATCTGGTATGTAGTACTCCAATATTATGCCAACGTAATGTGCTGTTTTTCAAAGGCTTTGATGTCAATGCAGTTGTCGGTTTAAATATACCTACAATCCGAAGATATGACCGCAATTGCCGTACGGCCTACTTTTACGTAAACGCAAATTACAATTGCAACGTTCATGCTTAATTTTCTCTGTTATCTGGGCATGTAGTAATGTAATTTTATGCCAATACAATGTGCTATTTTGCTAGGGCTTTTCAATGCAGTTATTGGTTTAAATATACCTAAAATTCCCGTTAAGATATGACAATTGCCGTACGGCCTACTTTTACGCAAACGCGAATTTAATACAATTGTCAATTGCCACTTTCATGATTAATTTTCTGTTATCCGGTCGTATACACTTTATGCCACTTTGGCAACACGGCCGGATAACAGAGAAAATTAACTCTCTTTCGTTTGGCGCCGAAATATAAACCAGGTTGAAACCGACCTTGTATTTTGCAGGTTCTTATCTTCGGTTCAGTGCATGTTATGTAGCAAATCCAATTGGAACAAAGTCAAATTGAACATGTTCAAGATTAAAGCATACTGGTCGACACAAATTCCCTTGAATTGATGTAGTTTTGAAAGAAACCTCGCTTCTTTGACTAACGATTCGGTCTCCCCTCAGTCATGGCTGGAGTCTACCAGCTTCTGGACAACGAATGTTCTATCGTTCTCGGGCAACTTTGTTGTAAAGACAGTTGTTCGGGTAATTTAAAGAGAAACGTATTTCCGCCTGCCATGATTATTGCAAAATTGTAATTTTAGAACTCTTATCTCGCAGTTGCAGTTTGCGTAAAAGTAGCCCATACGGCAATTGTCATATCTTAACGAGAATTTTAGGTATATTTAAATCGATAACTGCATTGAAAAGCCCTTGAAAAATAGCACCTTACATTGGCATAAAATTGCATTACTACATGCCCAGATAACGGAGAAATTAAAGCATGAAAGTTGCAGTTGTCAATTTGCGTTTGCGTAAAAGTAGGCCGTACGGCAAATGTCATATCTTAACGGGAATTTTAGGTATATTTAAACCGATAACTGCATTGAAAAGCCCTTGAAAAATAGCACATTGCATTGGCATAAAATTACATTACTACATGCCCAGATAACAGAGAAAATTAAGCATGAACGTTGCAATTGTAATTTGCGTTTACGTATAGAAAGTAGCGGGCCGTTGACGGCAATTGCCGTCATATCTTCGAATTGTAGGTATATTTAAACCGATAACTGCATTGACATCAAAGGCTTTGAAAAACAGCACATTACGTTGGCATAAAATTGGAGTACTATACATACCAGATAACTGACACTAAATTAAAACTTTATTAACACTAAATTGTAATTTTAGAACTCTAGACTTATCTCGCAGTAAGTCATATAAGCGAAGAGACATTGGTTTTTATTTGTTCAAATTCTAGGACAATATTCAATATTCTTTATACATATAGATATGCCCTTATAGAACGTTCTTTTGACCATATCCGCGTTTTATCCTTTTGGATAAAACGCGGATATGACTTAAAAAGTTTTGGATAAAACGCGGATATGACTTAAAAAGGGCTGGAAAACGTTTTTTGGACCATATCCGCGTTTTATCCTTTTGGATAAAACGCGGATATGACTTAAAAAGGGCTGAAAAACGTTTTTTGGACCATATCCGCGTTTTATCCTTCTGGATAAAACGCGGATATGACTTAAAAAGGGCTGAAAAACGTTTTTTGGCCCATATCCGCGTTTTATCCTTTTGGATAAAAGTTCATAAAACGCGGATATGACTTAAAAAGGGCTGAAAAACGTTTTCTGGACAATATCCGCGTTTTATCCTTTTGGATAAAACGCGGATATGACTTAAAAAGGGCTGAAAAACGTTTTTTGGACCATATCCGCGTTTTATCCTTTTGGATAAAACGCGGATATGACTTAAAAAGGGCTGAAAAACGTTTTCTGGGCCATATCCGCGTTTTATCCTTTTGGATAAAACGCGGATATGACTTAAAAAGGGCTGAAAAACGTTTTTTGGACCATATCCGCGTTTTATCCTTTTGGATAAAACGCGGATATGACTTAAAAAGGGCTGAAAAACGTTTTTTGGACCATATCCGCGTTTCATCCTTTTGGATAAAACGCGGATATGACTTAAAAAGGGCTGAAAAACGTTTTTTGGACCATATCCGCGTTTTATCCTTTTGGATAAAACGCGGATATGACTTAAAAAAGGCTGAAAAACGTTTTTTGGAAGCCATCCGTCCGTCCGTCCGTCCGTCCGCCCGTCCGTCCGTCCGTCCGTCCGCCACTCATCCGTCCGTCCGTCCGCCATCCATCCGTCCGTCCGTATCCGCGTTTTATCCTAACCCATATATCGTCCTAATATTCAAGTTATATGTACCGCACGCACGGAAACGCACAGTGGTCTTGGTGTTCGTCTGATGACAGATAGCTATACTTCGAGTCTTCGACATAATCATTCTTGATCGTTGAGTTTCAGCAATGTAAATGAAAGGAATTTTACAGTCCATAACGGTTTTAATCCTGTGCTTTCACAGTCAACGGATAGCACTATTGTTTACACACACAGTTCGCGATGTTTGGGAAATCTTCCATTATGAAATAAATCCTTTGGCTTTGTTGAATATCGGACAGGATACACTTCAACAATAAACATTAAACAACCATATCGTTCATTTAGTATCGTTTGATCGTCAGTCGGTATAGAATTGGGAAGACTTATATGTTTCTACGGCGATGCGTGCTCAACTTCGCAAGCCAGGCGCGTGTGGAGTCCTTGCCAGTGAAATATGATCCAGCTTGTCGCTTGAAATGTACCGCAACACTTATTATTGATGACATTCAGTATAGCAGGAAGTTGTGTCATAATGAATACGAATTTAAAACTGTTCCTTTCACGATTTCTTGTTGCAAATTACATTTTTATCACCCGAAACTATAACACATAAAATTGCAATTTTCCAAACGTAGCAAACAGACTCCTCTACCACCCCTCCCTGAGATCAATTCAATTTACCACGCAGAATCTGCGGGGCCACGTGACCAGCCCCGACCAGGGTCTTTGCTTCCCAAGAGCAAAGAGCCTGGGAACGAGGTTGCTGCGTTGCTTGCTTTTTTGGAGTTAAAACGCAGCCATTTACACATTGTTTATGTTCTGAATATAAGCAGAGAAAACCCCGCAACATTTAAATGCGAGTTTGTTTGTTAATATTTGGGTGCTGTCATTGGTTCTTTTTTGACAATTGACGCGCGAATGGGGCGTGTTATGAAAAGGGGCGTTTTACAAAATACCGGGCCTTGCTTGCAGGCCCACTATCAGTTCCCTTGGGCCTGCACGCGGGCTACTCCTCACTGAGCCTGTTCCTATACTTCGTTCAGTGATCAAAGCAGAGGAGGTTGGACCACAGGCGGCCCAATCTCGCAAGGGTCAGTATAGACTTTACTAGTATGAATGTATATTATATTAATGTATATTATAGTAAAAATATGTCGTAAAATATAAATTTTAAAATGAAATTGACTTGCCTATTTGATAGTGTGTGTTCTCCTTTTATTCCTCCTTTGTTTGACTAATATTTTCCGAGACTTTGTACTCGATGTTACTAGTATACATGAAACATGATAAAGGCTAACGATTCCCGATCGTCGATACGACGGCACGGCACTTCGAATCGAAAATTTTCACGCTCAAATCGCTTTATTCTCCAAACAAATTCGCCAGCATGTACAACAAATGCCGTTCTTCGAAAATACAGAGGTACTTCGGCGAGATGTACAAGTTTTGGACCATATTTTAACAATGGAAATCAAAACCCATTTTATCTTGAACTTACCCGGACCGAAAATTACTACGGCGAACGTCTGCGCAACCAGGCCTCCTTTACCGTTGGATTTACATGGGGGGAGGATGCCACTAATATATTCACGATAATATTTCGAATTAAAG